AACTAAGTTCACTGACTCATTTTCTTTGTTGTAGACTATGCAGAATATTCTTTTTGTAGAAAATGTGGTATATAGTAAAAATCTTAGTACCCTGCATCCACTAAATATTTTATAATCCAGTCATTCTGCTAAATTGGCACAAGCCACTTTTGTGTTTAATTGCCAATATTATAGTTGCCTTTAAAAAGAAGTTACATGATGGTTAGCTAAGACACACACACACACACACACACACACACACACACACATATATATCTAACTCACATATCCCGTTTGAACGTGTGAGTAAGCAGAGGAAGGGGTAACACAGATTATTAGTGTTTAGGGTCTTTACATGCCTTGATCCGTCCCTACGCACTACACACACTCCTAGGGTTGAGATCCAGACCTTGTTAGAGAAGTTGCTGCAGTGCTGAGCCAGTGGAACTTACTAGACATCTGCTCTCTGGAACTTACTGAAAATGTGCCGTCCAGCGTGCTGGCTTCCTGTTAACAGGGGAGGTGTCTCACGAGAGGCATTCCGCTACAAAACTACCCAAGGGTGGTGTCAGGGGAAGCTCCTGCTTGCTGTGCATTGGGGAAGCCAATGTTGCAGAAGGCGGGCCCTAAGAAAGCTGGGAGCTCTGCAGGATCCTGTGGAGTGAGCACACAGGAAACAGGAAGTAAAGCCCCTTCTTCCTGCACTATCTCTCCACCACTGTCTACTGATAAAACTTTACATCACACAAGCAAAGTAAAAAATATTTAAAGGCCCCAGGTTCATTTTCACAGTGCAGGCAAAAAGGGGAGCTGAATCAATTACTGCTATAGGAGGTCATGGAACTGAATGGTTATGATGTTGGATTGTTTTCTTGTGGATGTAGAATTAACTCAGGTGTTGGCAGCAATTAAGGTGGAGTTGTAGGTCAAGTGGGGTGCTTTAATAGCACAGATTCCTTTTCCCCATTGCAGACCTTCTGAGCTAGAGTATCTGAGAATAGGGCTCAGAAATCTTTTTAACAAGTGTTCTAATAGATTTAGGAACCCTTGTGGTGCAGTGGTTAAGAACTCGGCTGATAACTGAGAGGTTGGCAGTTTGAATCCACCAGCTGCTGCTTGGAAACCCTATGGGGCAGTCCTACTCTGTCCTATAGGGTCTCTATGAGTCAGAATCAACTCGATGGCAACAGGTTCTAATAGATATAAAATAAAAAAATTTAGTTATGACTATTTCAAACACATAAAAGAAAATAGTATAACAGACACTAGTATACCCAGCATCTAATTTTAACAGATGTTAGTGTTTGGCTTATTTCCTGCAGACCTCCTTTTTTCCCCCCTTTTAATAAAATAGTACCTATTTTGGCTCAAAGAGTCGCCGGGTGGAGCAAACGGTTAAGCACTGGGCTACTAACTGAAAAGTTGGTTGTTCAAACCCACCCAGAGGTGCCTTGTAAGAAAGGCCTGGTGATCTGCTTCTGAAAGGTCACAGCTATGAAAACTCTGTGGAGTGGAATTCTACTCTGAAACACATTGGGTCACCAGGAGTTGAAATGGACTCCAAAGCAACTAGTGTCTCAAGTTCTACCTTCTCATTCCTTTCTCCTCCCTCCCTCACTAGCAATGATCGTTATGAACACTCTTTTTTAAAAATTTATTTAATTTTTTGTTATTGTTGAGAATATACACAGTAGAACATACACCAGTTCACCAGTTTCTACATGTACAATTCAGTGACATTGATTACATTCTTCAAATTGTGCAACCATTCTCACTGTTCTTTTCCAAATTGTCCCTTCCCCATTAAAATAAACTCACTGCCCCCAAGTGTTCTGTCAACTCTTTCAAGTTGCTGTTGTCAATTTGTTCCCATATAGTTAGTTCTTTAAAAGAGCACAATGTTCAAAGCAGACATTCTTTACTAGTTAAGCTAAAACCATTGTTTGATTTAAAGAAGACTTCAGCAGATATTTTTAGTTTAAGGCTTAAAGGTTATCGTAGGGAAATAGTTTTGGGGATTCACACAGCCTCAGTGGCTCCAGAAAGTCTAGATTCCATGAGAATTTGAAATTCTGATGAACACTCTTTTTTTTTTTTTTGAAAACCACTGCCTTAGGCCTTTGGAAAATCAAACTGTGCTCTTCCAGAGAGTTTGTTAGGGAGAGAGTTTGGAGGTGGGGAAGCCAGTAAGGAGGCAGGTTCAGTGGCCCAGGGTGTATGTACTAAGGATCTAAAGTAGGGTGAGAGATCTTTACTCCTTTTAGTCACGCTCTGTGTGAAAACTGTTCTTAGTAGACACTATGACCTCCAGTCTTTTACTCCCTCCCTATTCTCCCAGTTCACCAGCTCCTTTCTATCTTCACTTGCTTCCTTACCCAGCCTGGCCCCATGGTTAGTCATCTCACCTATATATTTGCTGTTGTTGTTGTTAGTTGCTGTTGTGTCGATTTTGACTCATGGTAACTCCATGTGTGCAGAGTAGAACTGCTCCATAGGGTTTTCAAGGCTGTGACCTTCCAGAAGCAGATTGCCAGGCCTGTCTTCTGTGGTGCTTCTGGAGGGGTTCAAACTGACAACCTTTCGGCTAGTAGTCCGGTGCTTAAATGTTTGCTCAACCCAGGGACACCCCAGAATTCCTTGCTTTCTTGACATTTTACCATACCATTCTAATCTCCAATCTTTATACCATAGAACTTTTTCTTCTGCCTTGAGGAGGTGGCCTTACCTTTCTGATTTATTGTAATCCATATAGTGTCCAAAATGAGGGTGATTTTCATCCAGGTGACCTCAGTGGCTCAAGCCTATTTTGGAGAAGGATGAGTTCCTGAAATTACTCAGACTTTGTTCTTTATCAGAAAATATAAGTGATACCTCAATAATACTACCAGATTTTTTTGTCTGTAGAGTGGAATTTTAATGAACAATTATAAAACTGTCCAAACGACGTAGAAAGCGTGTTTAAGTAGGTCAAATTTGGGAATTTATCAACAAATGGGTTTTGTTTTTATTTCTATTACATAGATTTGGCCCTGGGTCAAAAGTTAAAGTTTTGATTGACTAAATTTATTTTGCTAATATTTATAATCACATCAAACCAGACACATGGAGGTCAAATAGTTCTTGTTATAGAACTATTGATAGACACAACAACGTGGATAAATCTCAAGATAATGATGTTGAATGAAAGAAGCCAGACAAAAGAAAGTGCCATACTGTATGCTTGCATTTACATAAGATTCTAGAAAATGCAATCTAATCTATAGGGACAGAAAGCAGATTAGTAGTTGTCTGGGGTTGGAGTGGGGAGAGAAAGGGGTTGAAAGGGCCCAAGAAATCTTGGGGGTGATGGAAATGACTATCTCGATTGTGGTGATGGTTTCACAAGTATATACATATGTCAAAACTCATTAAATCGTACACCTTAAATATGTGCAGTTTATTTTCTGTCAATTATACTTGAATAAAGTTATTAAAAAATCATTAGCATGGGAGAAATGTCTGTTTTAAGCCATTAAAAACAAACAAACAAACAAAATAATCCTTATTATAGTCATGTAGTGTCTATACAGGGACACCAAACAAGTACATTCATTCAGTCAGCAGTTTTGAACATCTACTGTGTACCAGACACTGTTCTGGGAACATAGTAGTAAACAAGTCAGATGAAATCCCTGCTCCAGGGAGCTTGCATTCTGCTGGGGGAAATAGATCAACAAGCAATAACAGTAAAGTGGCATAAGTGTCATGACAGAATAAGAAGAGACAGCTTTGAAAGTATTTAGCAGAGTGATTTAAGCTGATTATTTGGTAGTAGATGCCTGAAGCTGTGTTGAGAAGGATTCTGAAGCTTAGCAGGAAAGAGCTATGATTGGTTGGCAATGTCTGCCCATGCACTAGGTGAAGGGGTAGTGATGCATTTGCCAACATACTCGTTGCTGTGGAGTCAATTCCAACTCATAGCGACCCTATAGGACAGAGTAGAACAGCCTATAGGGTTTCCAGGGAGTGGCTGGTGAATTCAAACTGCCTACCTTTTGGGTTAGCAGCCTGAGTTCTTAACCACTGCTATTAAAGATTGGCCTTGTGATAAATTTCCCAATAGTGTGACTATTTCAGCTGGTTCTGAAAATATTTGAGGATAATAAAGATCTTTTCTTATAAACTGGGGTCCCCCCCACCAGAGGAGCATTTTTAATGCAAAGTGTTTCTTGTTGGGAAAACATCAGCCTTCCTGACTGTAGTGTAGACAGTGAACAAGTGCTCTTTTGTTCTCAAATGATCTGTTTTCAAGTGTATTTTACCCACTCATGAGACTGTGTCTGAGCCTTTGCTAAGGGTACTGCAGCTGGATTGCGTAGTGGAACCAGGTCCAGAAAAAGAATTGCTAAAGAATGCAAGTAAACAGGATGTCAGATGTTATCCTTAGCCTATTTCCCTAAACATAGCTTTTTGGCTGCAAAGTAAAATGCCATTCTTCTAGCTTCTGCTTATACACAGTGATGGCTGACAGCAGGCACAATCTTCAATCACTTGGCACGTTGTCACTGTGCAACTCAACATGTTTTGCAAGGAATGATCGTGACACACCATCTCTGTGAGATGGTATGAGGACATTCAGCCATTTCTTGGAGGAAGAATTTTCTCAGCCTACCTTCTTCAACCCTGTTGTGCCAGCGCAGCTCCCTACGAGGTTCAGAGCTGTCTAACCTAAGAGCCAGTTGGCATCCTCCTCCTGACAGAAGCCAGATTTTCACTGGGGCTAGACTATTTATTGACAGCTTTTTCCCAGACTGGCCCATGGGTGTCTCATTTCCAAGGTCCCCTGAAGGGCTGGCTCACCTCTGTTTTCCAAGAGAACTTGCTTCCTACTCTCTCCTCCCTCTCCAGCATCTTCCTCACTTCCTTCCCTTACAGCTTCTTGCGCTCGTTGTTGTCCCCCACCCCGCCCCGTTAGGGGTGTGTGTGTGTTCTTCTTCTTTTTTTTTTTTTATCTTAATGAATGTGTTTTGTAGGTTTTGAAACAGAAAACCAGTGTTGTCCAGGACTGTCACATTCATTCTGTTTCCTCATCTTTCAGTGTGATCTCTGTGGTTTGAAAATCCCATATTTTGAGTGGGTTCCACTGTTGTCTAAGGAAAGTTGTTTTAAACCTTTGCTTTGCACGCACCAGAAGAGAACTCATAAAAAGGAAGACAACAGCAGATGCAATCGCGGATGTGGCTTAGTCCTTGCAGCTGCCCCTGAGAGCTGTGTGGAGCGTACAGTCCTCAGTAATGAATCCAGAAGAGCGAATCGTGACATGGCTTATCTCTCTGGGAGTTTTAGATTCTCCCAAAAAGACCATCTGTGATCCGGAGGAGTTCTTGAAGTCCTCGCTGAAAAATGGGGTAGTGCTGTGCAAACTTATCAACAGACTTGTTCCTGGCTCTGTGGAAAAGGTAAGGTAGACTTGCCTATCTTTGGAATTGCTTACCACCAGAGAGCAGCAATAATGCAACTCTTGGAATTTTCTGTTGCCCAGGTCATGGGAATCTTTTACTTTAATCTCTTTCTAAGAGTTAGATATTCTTTCTTACTGTGTGTGTAGTTAGAAAAAATCAGAAAATAAAATGTTATCCTGGAGTAATTGGCCTCAAAATATTAGTATAGTAAAAACCTTTACACCACTGGCAACAGGGGACAAGAAGAACACCCATATCACAAGCTTGCTCTGTCATAGAGCTGCATGCTACACTTTCCTGTGTAACGAGGACATGTTTTGAATTTGGGTGCCTATGAGTCTGTGGAATAACGGGATGATTTATAATCAATATTGGTGGTGTTTGTTGACAGTTTGACTAAGATCAACATAGATTTCCTTTACAATAAAATAAAATAAAATAAAATGTCCATTGAAGGACAGACTATTTTTCAACTAGGAGAAACAATTCAAAATATCACAGAAGGTTAGTAAAAATGATAGACACCAAATATATGTTTCAAATGCAACGCAGGTTCAAAGTGAAACTAATCTGACTCTCTTAAAAAAAATCCTAGATTTTTAATGTTGGAAATTCATAATCATGAAGATGGATAGTTTCTAAAGTGGGCACTTTCACTAAGTTTAAAGATAGGTCCTACAATTATTTTCTTAAAGCCTGCAGGGGCTATGACTGTGAGCATACCTCTTTTGCCTTCTTAAGCCAGTCTGGATTTTACTGAGCAGATCGATTTACTTATTATTTCTTATACTTGAGACATGGTGATAAAATGTAGAGAAATGTGATAGAGTGTAGAGAACAGCAAAGGGGAAAATGTAATTTTAATGCATTTTCATGAGGAGGGGGCAGGGAGGTATTAGGTATTTCTTCCTTGATTGAAAACATTAACCAAGTTCAAAAAACTGTCTTGGTCTCTCTGATTTGTTATCACCACCCTTTGGCAGAAGACATGAGAAAACGTTCGTCAGGAGAGATGGCTGGGGACTAAAGGTTTGGTGACATTTGAAACAAAGACCGACCGTTGAGATTTTTCATCACTTCCTTCAGTGGGCATTTCTCTTCCTGGTTTCACAGCAGTGTTGCCCCTGCCTGAAAAAACCTAGCTTGTCTAATTATCAGTGACTGATGAATGCGGTGTGCTGGTCAAGTTATGACAGTCTCCAAGTGACATATGATTGTGTTTTTCTAGTATTGTCTGGAGCCCCAAACCAAAGCAGACTGCACCAACAACATCAATGACTTCCTGAAAGGATGTGCAGCACTTCAAGTGGAGGTAAGTCTACCTGGCTTGCCTTCCTCCTTGTCTTCATTTTTCACGCTGCTAATGAAGATGGTCTTGTAAAAGTCCTTCATTTATTTTCACTGTAAATGGCCACCGAGGTAAACAGAGGTAGCATTTTATGGAAACCATAGTTGAGATTGGTGGCTGTCCCCAGTGATGGACTGCTAGTCTGTCTTTTCCTGAACCACTTCCAAAAAAGAAAGAGTCAAAACTCAAAAAATCATGCCTTTTAAATACAGCATCCAAGCTCTGAGAGCAGGCTTCCGGTGACAGAGCTTATGTGGGTGTGCTTCTCTACTGAGGGAAACCAAAAGTGGGCCACTGGCTGAGAGGGTCACTGCTAATCCCCCTGACTTGGAAAGACAAGAAAGTCCACTGGCACTTTTTTCCACTGGCACTTTAGAACAGAGGCCTTGAAAAGCTGAGAGAACCTGGCCCTGCGGTAGAAATTGGATATTAAATTATATTGCATTTTTGTATATTATATGGGTCCCTTCAGTATGTGTAAGGGGTGTTACTGAAAGGGAGGTGATACTTTCACCTGTGTGTAAAGTTAATAAACTTCTCTGTCCCTTAGTGTTTTTATCTGTAAAACGGAGACGTTAATAGTATCTACCTCATGGAGTAGAAGTTCCTGGGTGGCGCAAATGGTTTACGTGCTTGGCTGCTAACTGAAAGGTTGGAGGTTTGAGTCCACCCAGAGGAGACTTGGAAGAAAGACCTGGTGAGCTACTTCCAAAAAAATCAGCCATTGAAAACCCTATGGAGAACAGTTCTACTCTGACATACGTGGAGTCGCCATGAATTTCAATTGACTCCATGGCTAACTGGTTACCTCATGGGGTTGTTTTAAGAATGAAATGAAATACTGCAGAATAATTTAGGGTCTATGAGATAATGTATGTAGAGTGCTCAGCATAGGGCCAGGGACCTAAAAAGCACTGTATATAAGTAGACAAGCATTAGTAGTATTATTTGTGAAGAAGGAGTTTTTGTAGTCGTTTGGTGCATGGACTCTGGAGCCAGACTGCTTGGGTTCAAATCTCAGTTATCTCTCACTAGTAGCTTTGTGACATTGGGCACGTTACTTAACCTCTGTATGCCTCAGTCTCCCCAGTTGTAAAATAGGAATAACAGTGGCACCTATCTCATAGCATTGGTGTGAGATTTCAATGAATTCATACACATAAAGCCCCCAGAAGAGTGTATAAGTATTCTCCAAGTGGCAGCTGTTATTATTAGCAGTAGTAATAGCTTTGCCCCAGATAAACTTTGCTTCCTTCACAATTTTTCCTGAAGTTAGTTCTAGCACCAGGCTACAGTTGTCTCAGAATATTTTATTCCAGGTTTCCCTATTGTCCAGTTTGAGCTGTGTGTGTGTGTGTGTGTGTGTGTATGTGTGGTTTTTGAGGTAGGTGTGGCTTGAGACCACTCTATATCACTTATAGAATGATGTCTACTATGAAACCGATCATGGTATTTTCTTTTTTATTTGTCACATTAAAAGCATGGTGAGATTGCCAATGATTTCTGCACTTTGAAGCTGCCAGAAGGTATCGTGAGCTTCTTTGCAGTTCTAAGAACACTAGATGATACAGAAACACCTTCTGGGCCTCACGTTGTTGGGGAATGAGTTGTCCCACAGAAGCAGATTTTCTTGCTAACTAATGCTTACTCCTTTAAGCATCAATGCTTAGAATCTTTTTATCCACTTTGGATAGAAATCTTTCTAAAAAGTATATCATAATTTTCTGTCTTCTTAAATGGAAGGCACTGGGCATATTTTTATCTCTTTTTGATGATTCAAGCTGACTATTATGAACATTATAATAAGGCAGTATCTGGCATCATGTTTAAGCACATGTATTCTCTAGTTTGACAGACCTGGATTTAGAGTCTCAACTCTCCAGTTACTGATAGTGTGACTCTGGGAAAAGTTACTTGACTTCTATATGCTCCAGTTTCCTCACCTGTAAAATAGGGACATTAATAATATCCACTACATGAGGTTGTTTTAAGGATCAAATGAGACAATACATCTAAGACAATTAATATCATCATTGCACATAAGACATACACGATAGCTGTTCACTGTTACTGTTATTACTAAGTAGTGTTCTTTGCACTGTTGTGCGCAAAAGTATACTTGTAAGAAGTACATAAAAGTCATATTGAGGCACTCTTAGAACTCTAAGAGAAGTCTAAAGAATCAATACATAAGGAAGGAGACTGAAAGTTGACCTGGGGAGCACCCAGCAGCCAAGAATGTTGGTCATCCAGTCTCAAGCTCCAGGCAGCTAGATGTCTAGTTGTCTAGTGCTGCTATAACAGAAATACCCCAAGTGGATGGCTTTAACGAACAGAAATTTATTCTCTCACAGTCTAGGAGGCTAGAAGTCCAAATTCAGGGTGTCAACTCCCGGGAATGCTTTCTCTCTCTGTTGGTTCTGGGGGAAAGTCCTTGTAATCAGTCTTCCCCTGGTCTAGGAACTTCTCAACACAAGGACTCCGGGTCCAAAGGACGCACTCCGCTCTTGGATCTCCTTTCTTGGTGGTAGGGGGTCTCATTCCTCTCTGCTCGATACTCTTTTATATCTAGAAATAGATTGACTCAACATATAACCTAATCTTGTAGATTGAGTCCTGCCTCATTAACATAACTAACTCTAATCCTGTCTCACTAACATCATAGAGGTTAGGATTTACAACACATAGGATAATCACATCAGATCACAAAATGGTGGACAACCACACAATACGGGGAATCACGGCCTAGCCAAGTTGACACACATTTTAGGGGGACACAATTCAATATATAATACTAGGAGATCAAAACAAATATTTGCAAAAGTCACTTTAGATAGAGTACCTCCAAGGCACAAAGTGCCTAGCACAGTGCATAGCATAGGATATGCTTAATATATTTTGTTGACTGTATAAAACTGTGAATGTATGAAAAGCAATAAGAGCAAGGCTTGACTATTGTCCAGAACACATTATTATTTATCTAAAGAAGGAATGACATCTTTGAATGATCAGTGTGGAAATCGAGTAAGAATGGAGCCAAAGATACATCACCACACTGATAAATCGAGTATCCGGTTGTGGGGCATGGTGGCCACATTAAACAGCTGCCACCTTCTGAGCGTCTGTTTGCATGTCCAGTTGGCCTGTCCAAGTGCCTTCCATCTTTTTGTTCTCACGTGGCTACAGTGCCTTAGGGTCTCTACAGAATCACACAGCTAATAACTGATTGGGAAGTCTGTTGAGCCACCTGGGAAACAAAGCACTCACTGAAGTCCCTCCCCAACCTTGATAGTGTCTGTCTTAGGCTGGGTTTTCTAGAGAAGCAAAACCAGTGAAGCCTATATATATATATACATATATATATATATATACACATATATATACATATGTATGTATATATATGTATGTATATATATACATACATACATATATATCTATATGCATACATAGAGAGGAAATCCTGGTGGTGAAGTGGTTAAGTGCTATGGCTGCTAGCCAAAAGGTCGGCAGTTCAAATCCACCAGGGGTCCCTTGGAAACTCTATGGGACAGTTCTACTCTGTCCTATAGGGTTGCTGAGTCAGCATCGACTCAACGACAATGGGTGTGTTTTTTTGTTTTATATATATGTATATAGATATATATATACACACACATATATATATATATCAAGAGAGAGAAAGTTTTATCTTAAGGAGATGGCTCACATGGTTGTAAAGGCTGGCAAGTCCCAGGTCAAAGGGTCAGCAGTCAGGCTGGAGGCTTCTCCTGACTTACATAGCTGCAGGGGCTGACAAGCCCAAGATTGACAGGTCAGATGGCAGGCCACTGGCTCATGGGCTGTGGAGGCTGACGAATCCAAGATCAGCAGGTAAGATGGCAGGCTACTGGCTCATAGGCTGCAGAGGCCAACAAATCCCAAGATCGGCAGGTAAGATGGCAAGCCATTGGCTCACAGGCTGCGGATGCTGATGAATCCCAAGATCAGCAGGAAATTCAACAGGCAGCTGGCTCAAGTCCCAAGAACTGGAGGTCAGATGATGACGAGCCAGATGCAGGATCCAGAGCAAGCAAGTGAGCTTTGCCAGAATGTCCATATATATATTAGATGCAGACCACATCCCTGAGGAAACTACCTTTACAAAGGATTGGCTGATCACATCAGATCGTATCATGGAGGATGACTACATCATTACATAACTGCCAAATTACATGTGTACGTAACTGCCAAACTACTGAGAATCATGGCCCAGCCAAGTTGACATACAACCTTAAACATCACAGTGTTCTTTGAAACACAAATATTTTAAATTGGATGAAGTCCAAGTCATCTAATTTTTTCTTTTGTTGTTAGTGTTCTTGGTGTCATATCTAAGAAACCATTGCCTAGTCCAAGGTAACAGAGACTTAAACTTATGTTTTCTTCTAAGGGTTTCATAGTTTTAGCTCTTACATTTAGGTCATTGATCCATTTTGAGTTAATTTTTGTGTATGGTGTGAGGTAGGGGTCCAACTTCATTCTTTTGCCTATGGATATCCGGTTTCTTCATCACCACTTGTTGAAAAGATTATTCTTTACCCCATTGAATTATTTACTGTAGTTTTGTAGTAAGTTTTAAAATCTGGAAGTGTGAGTCTTCCAACTTTTTTCTTCATTTTCAGAATTGTTTTGGCTATTCTGGCTCCTTAGTATGTCCATATGAATTTTAGGATCAGTTTGTCCATTTTTGAAAAAGCAATCAAGCATCTGGGATTTTGATAGGGATTGTGCTGATTCTGTAGATTTCTTTGGGGAGTATTTCCATCTTAACAATATTAAGTCTTTCAATCCATAAACGTATGATGCCTTTCCATCCACAGTGTTTTATGTTTTTCAGGGTACAAGTCTTGTATTTCCTTGGTTCAATTTATTCCTAAATATTTTATTACTTTTTATGCTATTGTAAATAGAATTGTTTTTGTAAT